AAATATTATATCTGTTATTGTAGTGGTTGATTATTTCCCAACTCACATCACTTCAGAAAACTATTGTAAAATATTAACACGGACAAACAAATAGAAAATTATAGTTGTGCTTGACTGAACACAAAAAAATATAAAAGAGAATACATATAAACACAATAATCTCTTACATATCATAGAGTAAGATCAAATCATAATATTTACTGAAATCAATATTTTGGCTAGTGAGACCAAGACAAGTTCTTGGAGCTCATTCTACAAAAATTTCGTTCCTGTTATAATTCTCAAATAAAATTTTGTTACCCTAATTTTTACATTTGTTCCCTAAATCTCGGGGCCCCCATAACCCATCGTTCCTGTTATAATTCTCAAGTAAAATTTTGTACCCCTAATTTTTACATTTGTTCCCTAAATCTCGGGGCCCCCATAACCCATCTGCTATTTCCAAAACTCATGCTCATGGTCATGAAAACCTATTTTAAAGGGTCTAGTTTCCGAATTATTCACGATTATCATAATTATTGGAGTAATTTGTTTTGTATGTGCAAACTTCTGTCTCTTCGTTTTAAATCTGTTGGTTGCAGGCGTAGAAAGTTATTCCCTACCCGGCAGTAGCACACTTATAGGGATTTTTTAAATATATTTATTTTGAGACGCATCAACGATAAAGTTATTTGCGACTTCAGTTAGTTTCAATAAAAGAGATAACTACAAAAAGATGTAGAATTATGATTTTACTTAAGTTATTTAAATTTTAGAGCTTGGAATTTATATTTCATGTAACTTATAGGGATTTGTTTACAAGGTTTTAATACATTTTCAAAACCCTATCCTTAGTGTACGCTAAATAGAGAGCATTATAAGATGTACTTTGTCTTTTAAAGTGAGATTATTAGTTTAGTATTTTTTAAGATCTCATTCCTCAAGGACCAAACCTAAGTTCCTATTAACAGTCTTTTTGTAGATTTTGTCAGAGAATAAAATGTAGCAACGAGGTGCATTCTGTACTCTAGCAATACACTAAACATTTAATAAGTGATATATAGAGATACCACCTCTCGGGTGATGAGACCCTCTTCTTCAATGTCGATATAGATTGTCCCTTGTCAATATGAAAATTAGACAAGGGGAAGAGAGAGGGAAATCGTAATGCACAATTGTAATTTTAACATTTTCATTTCAACTACATTTAAAACAACATTTCTAGATGTGTGAAAACGAGAATATTGCAAATTGTCATAAGCATACTCTCACCGGAGACGAAAACGGTTGACAGTGCTCACTTCATCCTGTGTCCAACACATTTACTGGGTACCGATGACAAATGAATGTAACGTGACAAGAATTCAGAAAAGAAGACGAACATTCCTGATCCCAATCCGAATAAGAGCAATAGGAAAGGGCCGGACAGTTGGTCTAATTTCAGAGCTTTCGGATATCGTTTAAAAACCCCATTTGGAATCAATAATCTATGTGCTACCATATTGTGACGTTGTGCTCTAACCCATTGATTATACAATCCAGCCTCCACAACCTGTAACACGTATGTGTTCAGTAACTTGTAATAAGGCATTCCTTTCCTCAGAGGAAATGCTTCGTATCCTGGTGTCAGAATACATTCTGAAACGAGATGGAAAAGAGGCTCTCCTGTAATAGTGAAATTCACACTTCGTGAAAACACGTTAAACAAACGCTCAGAAGTGAGATATCCAATTCCTTTCTGCTGGAGAATACTCTCTAATCTTTCTGTCATTTCATCACCTGTTTCTTCAATTAATTTTCGTCCTAAACGGCGAAGCACTTCGTTTGAATCCACGTTATCTAAAATACTAGTGTAGTTGGAATATGTGTACAGCCGTTGTATCATGCGATCGACTTCTTTCAGTGATTGTACGTCTTTAGAACGTGGATGTGACGCCAGGAAGCCCAGAAGTTGTCCCGTGAACGCATTGCTTACTAGAAAGAACAGAAGAATCGCAACACACGCAATTCTTTGCGACGTCGTACGGGAATATCGTGCATTGGTTCCCGTTAAAATAACCTGTACTACGTCCAATGCTGATTCCAGGAGATTGCTTTTAAATGATGGCGATGCCATGTGAGTGATGTTGAATCGAAAGCGACGCACTATCGTCCATGTCACAACTGTCAACAGCACACATCCCATGAAACATAACCATGTGTCCAGGCGGAACGGCAAGAGCAGGACGGCACTGAACGGAAGATACGGAGCTCTGGGAATAACCACACACAATCGACCCACGGTAAAAGCAGCAGTGAAATCTGCGAATTTGTATCGCTCTGATGTCATGTAATACGTTTGAAATAAAACATCTGCAGTCTTGTTTTCTATAAATCCCGAAGTGCTCGGAATATCGATTCTGTCATATTCCACCAGGTTCTTGACTTTGTGAACACCTATCTTCTCGGCTATTACTTTCATAATTAGGTAATCGGCACCGTCCATAACATGCCTTCCTGAGTTCGTAATCCAATACGAATTAATGGGGATTTTTCTCGTTGCATGAATCAGTGTCCATTGCTGCTGTTCTGAGCCTTGTGTACAGTCAGTAATACACTGCTTAGCTGAAGTAACATTGTAGTTTTCTGATAGTAAACGGTGTCCACTGAACGTGACATGTAGGAAATTTAAAACTGTTATTAATATATACATTCTATTATTCACATTCATTTCAAAAAGAAAGAAGACTTACAGAAATATGTTCACTCCTGCTTCTATGCATATATCTCTGTTGCTACGCCTACTCTGCGTCTTGTCAATGATTTCAAGAAATAATAACACCTAATTCCTGGCTTACAAAAGGTAATTACTTTGAAAGTAAAACACTTTTTAGTTTCGGGGCTAGTTTACGGAAGTGAACTTCACGGAGGTCTGTGCGTGGTGTTCAGAAATAAGCGAACAAGGGAAAGGTACTAATCGCGTTTCACATCTTGTTTTGGTATTATCGTAAAGCAACGTCTAGTATTGTGACTTTTGTTGCGCGCGTTGCTAAATAATAATTCGCATTTCATGTTAAATAATTATTACTTGACCCATACTGCGTTCTTTCTGGGTAATATATCAAGAAGTCATCTTGTGTGGAGCTAATAAAGATAAGGAAAAAATATTATTTGCCGTATTTATATTTGTGAGAACGTTGTGGATACTCTTAAATATTCTGAGAAAAAGTCGTAAATGTTTAAATTGTATTGGTAATGACTACATTCATTATGTGAGTATCAATACTGTACTTCGTTTTAGTGTTGTATTCAAATATTAATTTTATTTAATTACGAAATATATAACTCATGCTTTTATGTCAATAAATGATTAATTTACGAAACTCTTTTCCATTGTCTTTTATTTCTGTGTCTGAAGCCGAGGAACGTAAACATTATATAGTGAAGGGAAATTCAAGACACTGAATTGAACAAAATGTTAAATGGAATTTATTTTTGAGAATTCTTTTTCTGAACTAAGAGATAATTCATTAGAATTGAAGGACAACAGCATTATTGTTACAACATTACTGTTACTAAGATGTGTAGTTGTATGTTACATAAGGAAGGTACTATACTCTACAGAATAATAGATATGAAAAAGTATGTTTTTGAACTTTCGGGGATGAGAAATTGTTATCAATGGATATTTACTGTATAACCTAAAATATCTAATAGAATTATTTTTTCTTTTCTTTAGATGTGTGCGTATCACTGTCTGAGTAAACCGTTAGAATGAGTTGGTTAGGTGAGTAGTTTTAGGGGAGACAAGGTAGACACTGTATACTCAACAGATTAATATGTAGAATGCAATATAAATTTTTCAATGGAAGACGTTCTTCCACTCTATTTTGAGAGAGGAAGGCAAAGGCACACGTAATGCGTTAGTACTCCGGCAACTACGGTATGAGAAACCCTAGTATCTTAGCCAGTCTCGCGGGTGCTTCATGATTCGTAGTGTGGCTTCGCAGCAGCGGCAGATGTTCCTTAAAAGCTAAGAAAAAATCAACCTCGAGAAAAGGCGCAGAAAGTATTAAACTTGCAATAAATCGACTCGTTTAATTTATGTACACAACCGGCGCAATTTTCTAAAATGAATTGAGTTTTAAGTGCCGATTATGCCAAAGATGAAGATATTGGAATGAGTAGTATCGTGGACTATCGAGTGTCCATCCATAGCAAGTGCATGCGATTCAATGGAAGCTTGAGGAAGAGAGTTGGGTGGGGACAGCGCTCTCCTATAGGGGTTTTGTTCGACAGAATTCGCGGCTGTTACCTAAGCTAAGAATACCCACCTTTTCATCTCATTTCATAAATTATTTGCTGTAATTGCTGCTATTTTGTTTACTGTAAATTCTTTTTAAATATCTTATTTTCGCAAAAGCACAATTATATCTTCTGTTATCAACGTAAAAGTTGTCTTACACAAGGGTTAAAACCCCGATACTACAATTGTACTCTACAAGCCCTAGTGTTCCTCGTTGAAGAAACATTTTGAAGAGGTAAATGTATGTGATATTTCGAACATACATGCCGCCACTGCTTCGCGGGCCCAGTTTTCCGTAAGCAAAGACTCCGCGCAAGGCAGCTACCGAATGAAAAAAAAACATCTGGGATCTCCTATGGGAGTAAACTACAATGCTCCAACCGCTGGGTTAAACATGTCCATTCTCGTCCTGGCACATTTCATAGTGGTTATTCTTCTCTGAACGTGAATGTGTGCTTTTGTTTCGCGATTAGTTCAAACGTGAACTGCCATGCAGATACAATTTCTGCTATATTAATTATTATAATCTACAAACGTTTATATTTATCTTAAATTAATAATGTTCCAAATAATAATAATAATAATAATAATAATAATAATAATAATAATAATAATAATAAGTAATTTCTTACCTCCCAATAGCTCATTTGCAGAATTTTGTGTCGAGAGCGCCTTATTATTAAAATAAAGAAAACCGTCAGTTTAAATATATTTAAAAGCTAAGAGAAAAAATACTTATTTTTGTATAATGGCTTTATTGTGTATTACAGAGAAATTAAAAATATTTTAAATTTATCCTAGCGTTAAAGAATCATTAAAGAGAATGTTGTATTTGTCATCTTTGCCTTCTTAGTAGTAGGGGCGTCCGTAATTGAAGGTATAACCATAACCTGGAACATACAAAAGAAGAGTTCAATCAAAATATACAAGCAAGCAAACGCAATCAGTCAATTTTTATTCGTATTTTTCGTGCTACCATTCTGTTCAGTAAAATAAATGTAATAGATTTTCAAATATACTAGCGGATTGCAGTGGAAAAAGCTGATCTATTAGATGTCTTAATGAAGTATCAGAAAAATATTTTGTTTTTTTCCGTGACGCTGTGTCTCGTATCGCCCATTTTTCAAGCACACGAACATCCGCGCACGCACAATAATGGCAGCCTTTAACGTGACACAGATACATTTTCTCCTATCAAAATTAAATTGCACTGAGACATTATTTTGAATTATATTGTGCAATTTACATCACAGACAATTATACACATTAATATAAAAGACCTATCAGAAAGAGGAATACGATCGTATCATCTGATTGATCAGTCTAGAGCCTACCAAGACGTTGCTTGGTCCACCACTGATGATTGTCCCAGATGAAGTATTTGGAAAAACAACTTTCACTGGGGAATGGCCTATCAACTCGAAAACATTGCCTATAAACTTTCGTTTGGCGCCATACACGCTGGACCATGATTTCCGCGAACTCTCAACCACTAGTGTCGTTTGGTCGGTTATTACGTACGCAGTTTTTTTAGTGTATGTGATCAGACCACCTTTGGTCCACCTCTGGGACCGACGTTCAAATCTCGGTCGATCACGGTGGAATTTGTGGAGGACAAAGCGAATTTGTGGCAAGGTTACTCGGAATTATCCCGCTTTCTCTGCCTCTTATTCCACTCTTGTTACATGATCATTCATATAATGCATTCATTACTTATTTATAGAAACATTAATCCATTACTATGGTAATAAAGATTAGGTTCGATCGTTATAATAATGAATGCGGGCGCTGCGAAGCCTGTTATCGGGTGGACTCGTGACAAGAACGGTGAGAAATCCTGTTCGCCGTAGTTGCACTCAACCTTTTTTTTATTACATACTTTTCTGATACTGCGTACATTGCAACTTTACAGAATTGTTTGGTATAATATATATGTACATAATACTGCACAATAAAATATAAGGAGGGTGACCCCACTGGGCTTCTCAATGGAAAGAAAATGAGGGTGAGATGTTTAGGAACTTGTGGTTTGTGAAATGAGTGCGGTAACGGGGCTTACGATGTGAGGATAGAATTGGAATTGGGGAGGGCGGAATTTATCTTTGGGGAATCTGGAGGGAATGCGGTTTAGATGAGGATGAATGGTTTTCCTAATGAGAATGTCTGTTGGAAAGGGAGGATAAAAAAATCTTTCAGAGAGGCGGGCGATGTGCTGGGCTACTGGAGGGAATTTTAGGTCATCGTGAATTTGTACATTTGGAATGCACGATGGGGCATTTAAGGCCGTGCGACGGAATCTATTTTGAAGGGGTTTGGACGTGTTTTGACGTTGAGGGGCCGCACTCCACCTGGATGCCGTGCAGCCACTTACCGCCGTAAGGCGAGCCGTAGCCCCAACTGGAGCCCACGGAGGGCCGGTAGACGACGGAAGGCCCGTACGCAGCGGCGGCGTACGCTTCGGGCGGGGAGACCCCGTACACCAGCGGGGCCAGGACACTCGGGTACGGGCTAGCCGCCGGCGCCGCGGCCACCAGCGCCAACGCCGCCACCAGCACCAGCTGCAAGCACCGAAGGCAAAATGAAGAACGGGAAATGGGCAACGGGCCATGTTCTTAGCAAACGGAGACATTACTAAGACTTGCGGGGAATGCTCATGTGGTGTTGTTGACATAATTAAATGAAGTATTTTTATAAATTACTTCAGTTACAAGTAAATTTATGTCCATCAAGTGGGATTATTGTAAGTCATCTCCGTAAGTAATTGGAGATGACTTACTTATCATTACTAGAATGATGCACTTTGTAGAATTTGCTTCGGGATCGTTTAGAATATATCTAGGTCGTTCAGTAAGTTCTTAGAAAATCCAAGATATGATACTCGTAGAATCGAAAATGATTTTTTACCAGTATGCAGCACTCCTAACGAGTCAACTGTTTGAGTTTCAGCTGCATTCATCACATATTTGCATTGTTGTTGACCATTGAAGTAAACAACTTCTATTTCTTTATAAAAATTGATAAAAAGTGAGTTTCGAGAAGTGATTACACATTTGTATTTGAAAGGATTAACACTGAAATAAAGTAAAGCTGAGTAGGATGAAGTTCATGGCACATTTGCTCCAGTGTTTGCAACTGTATACAATTGGGTGAATGAGTTTAAACGTGGTCGGACAACCACAAAAATGTGAACATCGTTCCGGACGTCCTAAGCAAGTGTCTACCCTGAAAATGATTGACAAACTCCACGATATGGTTTTAAGTGATCGACGAATCAAAGTGCGGAAAATAGTTGAGGCCACAGGCATATCTCAAGGCAGAGTCGTTCAATTTTGCACGAAAAATTGGGTATGAAAATCTCTCGGCACGTTTGCAGACAGTGGGGAATAAAAGCAGTCGTGTGGTCGACTCGAAGGCTGTTTGAACCCTTTTCCGTCGCAGTTCTGAATATTTTCTGCGTCAATACATCACCGTTGTCGGATCATAGATACATCACTACACTCCAGAGACAAATGGACAATCCAAACAGTGACGTTTTTAAGACGAACGGGCTTCAAAGGAGGCAAAGACCGTAAAATCGGCCGGCAAGATTATGACCACGGGTTTTGGGGTGCTTGCAGAATCATCAACATCGATTATTTGGAAAGGGGGAAAAGGGGGAAAAAGCGGAAATCGTTGAAAAACGTCATCTGAAAATGAAAAAGATTCTCTCTCATGAAGAGAGTTCACGGGTTCACACCTGCGTAGTTGCAATTCCCAAAATTATGGAATTAGTTTCAATTGTTACAACATCCACCGTATTAACCAGACATGGCCACACGTGACTTTTTCTTACTTCCAAACTTGAATAAATGGCTTGGTAGACAAAGGTTTACGTCCAACGAGGAAGCCATCGCTCAAACAAATACCTAATTTGTGGAGCTTCCGAAATCCTACTTTTTGGACGGCTTAAAAATTCGGGAAAACGCTGTATGTATACAGCTCAAAGGAGGTTATGTTGAAAAATAAAGAAAAATATACCCTCAAAAAAGTGTTTTTGTACTTTTTTCTAAGGACTTATTGAATGAGTCTCAAATCTATGACATCGCACCACCGTCTATGGTTCCCTTTCCAGTGGAGAGGAATGGTTTAGTTTGTCGTTGGACTGAGTTTGGCTGGCGTGTTCGATTGAACTGCCGCCGATAGAAACACACTTATGGCGCTCAGTGGCATTGTGGAGAATAGAATTAGTTACAGGGATTAGGCTCCATTTAGAGGGAGGAAGAATGAGAACACTACCCAATATTTTGAACTTTACTGAATTTTCTCAATCATGTAAAATGCTCAAAAACGTACAGATTTAAAATGTTAAACAAGAATTTCTAATGTTTGTACGAGATACTAGTACCGAGTAATTAGAAATAATGGAAATATATTATTATTATTATTATTATTATTATTATTATTATTATTATTATTATTATTATTATTATAAGAAGCATGATGATGATGAACCCTCACAGTGAATTGGATTACAACAAATGATTTCTACGAAGATATATACCGTCAATTTCAGATTCAAAAATTTTGACTTTTTAAATGTTGATTCCACATATCTTTTTTGTGCCGATACTGACCATTCACACTATTCTCCAGAACTAATGACTCCAAATAGTGTTTTTTGATGCTGTTACCTTTACATTTCAACGGTCGGATTTTTTCTCATGATGCTGAAAAAATATTAACAACTTCAAAATAGAATAAGGAAATAACAAAAGTACATATGGTCGATATGTTATCGGTTACAAGTTCTTACTATTTTATTGATCGCGTCAATGTACCGGCTGGAATAGCACATTTTGGCATAGTTTTATCATTTTTTCTCAAATTAATCTTTACTAACACTACCTATTGCATTCTATTTTCTCTTTGCACGTCACGCAATACTAGATTCCACAATCATTTTCCCATTTCCATAACGGAATTATTCGACCTAATTTTCGAGACATTATTGATCTTATAAAAACGTTGAGGACGAATATTGAAATACACTTCGCAAAGTGTTCGCTACATTTTACAAAATTGTATTCTTTTTACCTCTGTACAACAAACATATTTATCTTTAAAGTGTGTATGGGCGTGTCCCTTCAATTCCAAAACTCAGGGCAGAGTTCGGCAGGGTTACTGAAAGCCCACTTAATACCAAACATAGAGTAATCGCGACAACCTAATTACGCCGTGGCATGCAGTCCATCATGTCGGCTACGCAGCTAATTATCTATTGCAGAAACTATTGAGCTAAGCAAATACCCCAACACAAACCTCAAGTTCCGGGAGAGCACTTGCAGCGGGTAGTGTTGATTACAGCAGGTTATGAGAACATTCCAAATGACCTTACCACTCGAATATAAACGTAACTCAGTTCTCTTAATAGTGTATACATTCAATCAATATACCCATAACTTTGTTTTTCACTACATTACAAGATCTGGTAAAACTTTTTGAAACTACGCTGAAAAGGCAAATCTTTTTACTTTGTATTAGCGAATTTTAAAATTTACTGCATTCGGTTGTAAAATACAAAAATTCAGAGTTTTAAATTTTCAAATAAATCAATTATTGAATGAATTTACTGCACATTGAATGGTATTGAGATTCTAGATAATTCACCCAATACGATATTTGTTTACAATTTCTAGAAAATTTCCCGATCTCTTCCAGTTGTACAACAAATATAACATCGAATATTTGTAACAAACTATTTTCGTTTAAAAATATGCAGTTTAAGTTAAAAATATGCGGTAATTGTTTGCTTAAATATCAAAACAGAACTGCCGTGAAACTAATTAAATTGACTGTCAAGATATCCAACTCTTTTTGAACTAAGAAAACTGTACGCTATCTAAATAACACAACAAACATAAAATAAATGTTCAAAAAATTCAGAGAGCTTGAAATTGCCTTGAACACTTTTGTTAAGAAAACATCATTGTTCTTGATCATATCGCCCGGATATGTAAAAGTAGCCTCCCTAGATTGCTCTGTGAATGGAACTCGCGACTTATAAATTCACGGTCCGATGTAGAAAGGTGGAAAGAAATTTTTCATTGGAAGAAGCAGGTACGTTCAGAGGGTGTGGCCACTTGTCCCAGGCCCCCAAATTAAGTGGTGCTCCGAACATTAACACAAGACATTATTATTATGATAATTATAATTATCTTTGAAATAATAATACTAATAATAAAAATAATATATTCATATGAGGGGAAATTCTAATTAAAAACTTTATCTTTTTGGTCGCATGAACTTCAAGGTCGTTAGCGACCATTTATACAATTATTTTCAGTGTATTAAATAAATTTACACTTTTTAGAAATTTGAAAACATTACATAATGGAGATTGTTCACTGAGTAAAGGGAGACAATTTGTAAGTGAATGTGAGTCAGAATACACTGAACAATCTATTAAAATGTTGGATAGGGGGAACTAGGGGAACTTTTCTTTTCAACAAAGATGCCCCCGTAGATCTACTTCTCGAGGTCCCTTGTTTTCTCTGGGAGCCCCAGGGAGGCTGTACTAAGTTTGTTCACAACTCGATAAGTTTTATTAATAATACGAATCGAAAGATGAATACTTTTTTGTGTTCTTAAAAATTCCAATTTTTTAATTATCTAGTGTTTACGCACGTTTTGTTAATCTTTCGAAGGTTTGGGAGATACTAAATCCTTAACCTTCTGCTGTGGTCGTGTGCTGCATTACGTTTCAATAATCAAAAGAAGATAAATTCGAATGTGCTTATCTTTACAAAACACATTATGAAATTCAAATTATTTAACGAGTTCGGCAGCATTTTACAGTACTTTATAAATATTTCTATTGAATAAATTCGATGTAGTGATTTTTGCCTTCCAACATACAACCTTCTCGGTATTTAAACAATGTCCTCCAAATTGTCTTCTGCTAAAGGTGGGTCTGTTTTCGGAACAAAGTTTAAAGCTCAAGCGGCACTCACCAGAATCTTCATCATCTCGAAGGCGGAGTAGGCTGCGGGGCGCGAGTGTTCTCGGGGCGAGCTGAGAGGCAGCACTGAGCACCTCGGAAGGGCCCGGCTGTTTTTTATAGGCGACCGGCGGATGGACGCTGGCCTCCGCCGACGCCCCTGCCCTTCCCCCCGCCCCTCCTCACGCCCCCCCTCAAGCCAAGCCTCCTCCGACGCTGCTCCATACACCTTGGACTGCGTCGCCACGAGCCCGGGCACTGGGTTGGATTTCCAGTTTACCTGGGCAAAAGGGTTGGATAACCCGTCTCGCAAATGAAACCAAACAATGCTGGTCTTTTACATGGGGCACTTGGAAGGGACGTTGAGTAATTTTCCACACGATTTCCACAAGATTTGCATTCCGCTGGGAATTTTTTCTTATTGCTTGAATGATGATGATGATGATGATGATGAACAAATTGGCAACACGCTCATCATTACGTTAGAGTTCGGGCACTAAGTATCATAAATCTTGAAAATCCGTGTTATGACAAATTGAATATGATTGTAAGAAGTATTTATTTCCCACGTAATGTTCGTCATGAAGAGTAGTGCTTTCATGTGACTAATCTATACCTGACGCGTGTATTTCACGTCAATTGATTAAATATTTTCAGTTTATCCTACGTAAGTGAATATTAGTTTTAGTTAAGGGTTGGTAAAATATGAATATTGTTTTCAGTTAGGTTTTGTGTTTACACGCCTAACCATTTCAGAAAAACAAATAGATGAAATAGATACATAAAATTACACAATACATACTACATAAAGTAAACATTACAGGAAAATTTAAAAAAAAATCACATCATTCATCATCTATTTCAATAAATGTTTAGTAAATAACTCTAATTTAATTTAATGATTTTCAGCTTTCTAATTATATTGAAACACATAAAAATGAATCATCGATGAGCTTCGGAGGCTTCCTAGTGGTTACCTGGAGGCTACGCCTTACGTCTGGAGCGTGTCAGTGATTGGAACTCAGTGAGATCGTAGGTTCGATCCCTAGTCAGGAGCCGGAGATTTACCGGATGTTTTTAACATCGGCGAGCGTTTTGGGGTCATCGGGATCGCAGTCGTCGTCCAACTTCTATTGTGACGTCATGGATACTCACAGCGACCACAGACACAGAGCTTTCGTATAACAAATATATTTATTAACAAGAAAACAAAACAAATACACTTAATAATCACTTTAAACCCTAGCTCTGATAGACCTACTATCCCCTGATCGCGGGAGCGATCCAAAACCCGATTGAAGATGGTTTTGATTGTGGCATTCGCCACTCCTACTTTTGAAGCGCGCACAAAGCCTAGCTTCCGTGACCGGATGTCACGCTGGGACACAAAGTCCGTTCTGGCGCACCAACGGCTGGTTTGCCTCGATCGCAGGAGCGATCTTATCCGATTGAGAATCGGCGTGAATCGTGGCACTCAACCACTCTTCACCTCGGAGCACGCACACAGCATCGCTCCCCCGTGACCGCAGTCACCCAAGGACATAAAGTCCGCAGGCTTCGTCAACTAATGACTCCAGCCTCGCGAGCCTGGCTCGCATATGCACCGTCTTGGCGCCAAGTTTTGTGCACACGCACGAGGTTCTCCCACCGTCTCCAGAACCTCCCTACTGGCTCCGTACACTCTGTTATATAGGCGAGGCCCACGTGACCTCCTACGTCACGCCACCCCCTCGCTTGTTATAACAGTGAAAAGCTTCTATAAGCCGGAAGACACCCAAAGCCTTGTGTCTCCCGTCTCCGCGTTCTTCCTTTACGGAAAAACCCTTCTTCCTGTGGCGAGACTAATCCGCAACCAAGCGTCCCCAAATAGATGCCATGAGGCACGCTGGCTAATACGTTACACTATGTTCAGCGGTTTTCCTTATCACTTCCAGGCGAATGCCGGAGCTGGACCCTACAAAACGGGCTCCGGACTGCGTGGCATTTTTTCTTCGCTATCCTGTTCGCATTTCCATCTTTGGGGCGAATGCGTCGAAACGTCGCGTATATGCAGGGGGCTGGCAGGGGGCGTACCTAAAATTTTAGATGAGAGACCCGTAAACCTACGTAATAAAAATGTGAAGGAGTCGGGGAAACATAGTGCTAACCTACATATCTATACGTTTTGTCAGCCCGAGGAAAAAACAGTGTTTTAGTTCAATGAGACGTGTCTTTCTTTGAACACTTCTGGCTGCTTTCTACAACCACACTGTAGTTCTATGAAGACGTTTGTTCATTTCTATCATAAAGTTTGTTTTTAGGAGACATTCTAGAAACTTTTGTTTTGTATCTATGAAATGAGGGTTAGTAATATCTTCTCCCAACTCCTTCATTTTATTTCAGTAAACATGATCAATTCGGGATTTCCCATCGTTTTAAGCAATTTGGGAAATTGATACACTACATTTGTGGGAAAGGCTTTCCAGACCATCTGGCACCTGTGTAGATAGTTCAATATCAAACTAGTTCTTTATTAATTGTATCATTTAAGTTATTGAAACCTCTTTGAATTATGTTTTATTACCAGTAAAATATGTCTGTAAATAAAAAGTTTATTGGGAAAGTAGGCTCAGAGTAGCCCACAACTATAGTTGCCCCCTCTTCTTTTACTTAGGCTGCAAATACCTATGGAAGTAGGAGGTCATTGTGTGACAAGTGCGCAGTAGTATCAGAAAAGAAGACATATTATGATACCATTTCCAGATCGGCCTTCCTTAATACCTGGCCATATTACACTGAATACTTGTTTGCTAATTACATAGTAGGCTTTTTTATATACACCCATTATTGGAATCTTCTTTTCATACAATAAATATTAGTTTAAAAACATATTCTATTTTCTTTTTTCACACTAAGTCTTGAACATTAATAAGTTACTTTATAGGTTCAGAATATTAGCATTTATATCAGTCAAAATTAACAAAAAATAAGACAATTATATCTCTATTTATACTAAATGGTAAATAACATACACAGTTCAGTAATCTGATAGAAATGGGTTATAATTAAGTTACCTCTAAATTGTTAACTATACTAAGTTACTATATACTATTGTACTATTTTGTAAAATTCCGGAATGGGATACATGTCAAACGGTTGTTGGATCCAGTAACTAGTCCGGAATACGTTCCAAGTATTTACAAGTATATACGCTTGGTGCTTTCCCAACGGGAATAAATATAACAGAAGTTAAGTATTTTAGTATTGATCCTATGGCATTGGTAAAATGCAGTATTTGGATTTTAATGTAAACATGTAAACTACATCTGCAGCAAATTTATAAATCATTTCTTCAATCTCGAAAAACTGTAATAATGTATGTACGTTACAGTCAAATATTTAAGTTCGTATTGTAAACTTAGTGTTATAAGAAGAGAAAGCGGTATTACTGAAATAATAAAAAAAAACTTTGTTTGTGGAGATAGTGAATAGCCTTGGTAGTGCGGTGTATTAAGTACTAATTGCCGATCTCAAGTACTGCTGATGGAGTCTAGCAATTAGCAAATCATTTTCACGTTCTATGCTAATTCAAAACAAATCATTAAAAAGAGAAGAGCGGAAATTTTAACGGAAAATAATGTTGCATCAGTGTTTTGCGTATGTGATTTTTTTGTTTAGTACTCATAGGCGGGCTAAGAGAGGTCTCAGAGCTGTATGTGACAAAACATTTAATTTTCGTAATATTTTGAAGTCTTGATTTTGCCTTTTGAGACTGAGGATGAGGGTTTTTTTAAATTTTTATTTAATACAGGTCGCTTTAGAAGTAGCGGAGGTCACTAGCGATTTTTATTTTACACGTAAGTAGTAACATCAAAAAATTATAATAAACTAGGAAAAAATAATCACGATAATAAAAAGCAATTTGTCACACAAAGTTAATTAGGGAATTTGTGATATAACAATTGTAGACGAGGCTCTCCAGATCTGGCTACCCTGTAAATAGTTCAGCATAAAACCATTTGTAATATTTATTAATAGTAATAATTAAAAACACTTCTAATTTAGTTTCCTTTGTAATATGTTGCATTCATTTAACAGTAAAATATGTCATATATACATATAAAGAAAAATCAGTCGAAGAGGATAATATAATATTATGTAACTAGTTTATAACCTTAAGCTTTACAGCATGAGTACATGTAGAACCTAGTTATAAAATTTCTACGAATTCTCTCACTGCGATTGTAACACTAAATGTGTAATGACGCAATTTTTTGTGCAATAAGCCTAAGTAAAATCTGCGCCGCAAGTTGTCACTTTACGAACGATTTCAAACAAGAGGTACGTTAGATTATAACGCTAGGATACACAAACCAAATGTAATTGCCCCCTCCCCTTGTTTTATGCTGCGCACGCCCATGCTGTAGCACATTTTTGGTTCCTCCCATTCGAGAAGTTCCGGGGTTCTACCGCGGTCCATCCCACTGCGCGCCCCGCCGCTGATGCAAGCGCCCGCGGCGCGTCCATCAGGTATGCGGTACG